GGTTGACCTGTAGCTCATGGAGGCTGAAGAATTTCCTCCTTGAAGGCAGACGTGATTTTCCTCCTCATGGAAGAGTTTAGGCCAGCCATAGTGTGTTATTTTATTTTATTTTGTTTTACTTTATGTTATTTTTGAGACAGATTCTCACTCTGTTGCCCAGGCTGGAGTGCAGTGGGGCCATCTCAGCTCACTGCAACCTCTGCCTCCTAGGTTCAAATGATTCTCCTGCCTCAGCCTCCTGAGTAGCTGGGATTACAGGCGTGCACCACCAGGCCCGGCTAATTTTTGTATTTTTGGTAGAGATGGGGTTTCGCCATGTTGACCAGGCTGGTCTGGAACTCCTGGCCTCTAGTGATCCTCTTGCCTCACCTTTCCCAATAGCTGGGATTCCAGACACATGAACTTTATTTATTTATGTATTTATTTATTTTCGAGACAGAGTCTCGCTCTGTTGCCCAGGCTGGGGTGCAGTGGCGCAATTTCGGCTCACTGCAAGCTCCACCTCCCAGGTTCACGCCATTCCCCTGCCTCAGCCTCCCAAGTAGCTGGGATTACAGGCACCTGCCACCACGCCGGCTAATTTTTTTAGTAGAAACTGGGTTTCACCGTGTTAGCCAGGATGGTCTCAATCTCCGGACCTTGTGATCCGCCCACCTCAGCCTCCCAAAGTGCTGGGATTACAGGTGTGAGCCACCTTGCCCGGCCATGAACTTTATATAAAATGGAATCGTGCAGTGCTGTGACAGAATCATAACCACCAAAGATATCCACATCCTAACCCCCAGAATCTCTGAATACATTACCTTACCCAACATAAGAGACTTTGCAGATGTGATTTAGTTAAGGACATTGAGACAGGGAGATTATCCTGGATTATTCAGTGTGCCCAGTTTAATCACAAGAGTCTTTTATAAGAGGGGGGTGGAAAAGGTAAAAGTGATGGGATGTGAAAAGGATTCCACCTTCTATTGCTAACTTTGAAGATGGACAAAGAGGCCATGAGCCAAGGAATATGGATGGCCTCTAGAAGGTACAAAAGACAAGGAAACAGATACTCCCCTGGAGCCTCCACAAGGAACACAGCTTCTACCAATGCTTTGACTTTAGCCAGTGATCCTTGTCAGACTTCTACAGAATTGTAAAATAATAAATTTGTGTTGTTTCAAGCGATTAAATTTGGGGTCATTTGTTACAGAAGCAATAAGAGACAAATACAGGTATTTACTCTTTGTGTCTGGCATCTTTCACTCAACTTTTTTTTTTTTTAACCCAAGCCCATGACAGCAGATCATTTTATTTGTACTATATAACATCCCATTACATGAACATGCCATATATTCTTCTTCAACTGTTGATGGACATTTGTATTGTTTCTAGTGTGGGCTGTTATGAATACTGTGGCTATGAATATTCTTGTACCTGTCTTTGGGATAAGGTATGTGCATATTTCTGTTGCACATATATAGGAATAGAACTGCTGGGTTATAGGGTATGCATGTATAGTGGCTGCTGTGATGCATCACCAGCTCTTTCAGAATGAAAGGACCTGTTCTCTTAGCTGCTGGGAGGACTCCTGGCTGGCAGTCCCAGCTGCCAGGCCTCTGTGCAAACTAGCCTCAGCTGAAAAGAACGTATTTGGCCAAGGTCACACATGCCTCCTAGGGATGACCTGCGTCATTCAATGACTGGTTGATATGTAAGGGTGGGGGATATAAAGGCCCCCTCCCCCACTGATATTTGGAATAGCTTTGAAGGGTCACCACAGATTCAAAGTTCTTCAGGGATCAGAGGAGGCTTTTGCAGAGGCTATATCCTAACCCAACTTCTCCCCCACCAACCCTGCTTCCCTCGCTTTCCTGCAGGTGTTGATCCTGAGAGCACTCCCTAGTCAACTTCCTTTCTTTTTTTTCCTCTCTAATCCAATATGATTGATATCCCTAATCAACTTCCTGCATGCTAATCTCCATCTCAGGATCAGCTGCCTGGAAACACAACCTACAACAGCTTGCATTATTCAGCTTTCATGGTTATCAAGCAATTTTTTTTTTTCCGAGACGGAGTCTTGCTCTATTGCCCAGGCACAATCTCAGCTCACTGCAACTTCCACCTCCCAGGTTCAAGCGATTCTCCTGCCTCAGCCTCCCGAGTAGCTAGGACTACAGGCATGTGCCACCATGCCCAGCTAATTTGGTATTTTTCTTAGAGACGGGGTTTCACCATGTTGGCCAGGCTGGTCTTTAACTCCTGACCTCAAGTGATCCGCCCGCCTTCGCCTCCCAAAGTGCTGGGATTACAGGCATGAGCCAGTGCGCCCGGCCACGTCAAGCAGTTTTCTAAAATCGTTGTTGTCCTATGTATTCCCTCCAGCAGGGTGGGTGAGAGAGCTCAACATTCTTGCCAACACTAAGTATTTTTTGTCTTTTTTTTGAGACAGGGTCTTGCTCTGTCACCCAGGCTGGAGTGCAGTGGCATGACCACAGCTCCCTGCAGCCTCAGCCTCCTAGGTTCAAGCAATTCTCCCACCTCAGCCTCCCAAAGTAGCTGGGACTACAGGCGTGTGTCACCATGCCCACCTAATTTTTATTTTTTAATTTTTTTGTAGAGATAGGGTCTTGCTATGTTGCCCGGGCTGGTCTTGAACTCCAGGCTCAAGTGATCCTCCCAACCTCGGCCTCCCCAAAGTGCTGGGATTATAAGCATGAACCACCAAGCCTGGCCTGTTTTGTTTTGTTTTGTTTTTTCTAAAGTCACTCTGGTGATTGGGTAGTGGTACCTCATTGTGGTTTAAATGTGCATTTTTCTGATGGCTAAAGAAGTTCAGTACCTTGTTGCATGTTTATTGAGTTATTTGTGTATCCTCTTTTGTGAATTGCCTGGTCAAATCTTTTACCCATTTTTCTACTGGGTTGCGTGCCTTTTTCTTATCAATATGCAGGTGTTCTTTCTATATTCTGGATACAAGTCATTTGTTGGATATATCACAACATTATTGAGAGATTCTCAGTGGCACCAGCACATTCTGGGTCCCAATAAAAATGAGTTACAAGAATGCTTGAGTCCGAAAACTCCTCTAAGGAAAGAATGCTTGGACGGATGCAAATGTGTATGGTTTTAATGGGTATAATTGGATATCAGATATGGGTCCCAAGGAAAGGAAAACAGAACCTTGAATGCAGGTAACACACCCTCAAACTAGCCACAGGCAGTTGTCCCAAAGGCAACTGTAAATTAGTGTTCATTCATTCAAAGAATGTCGATGGAAGGTACCAATGACCAGCATGTTGTTTGTTTTTTGTTTGTCTGTTTTTTGAGACAGAGTCTCCCTCTGCCGCCCAGGCTGGAGTGCAGTGGCGTTATCTTGGCTCTCTGCAACCTCTGTCTCCAGGGTTCAAGCGATTCTCCTGCCTCAGCCTCCCGAGTAGGCATGCGCCACCATGTCGGGCTAATTTTTGTATTTTTAGTGGAGGCGGGGTTTCGCCATGTTGGCCAGGCTAGTCTCAAACACCTGACCTCAGGCGATCTGCCCGCCTTGGCCTCCCAAGGTGCCGGGATTACAGGAATGAGGCACCGCGCCCAACTGGTGAGCAGCCTGTTCTAGGAGGTGACTAGCCAGCTGTGAAAGAGAGACAATATTCTTGCTTCCAGGAGATCTAGGAGATACGACAACTTCTAAAATAACATAATTTTAAACATGAGACATAAACTGAATCGGTCGTCGGGGGAAGGAGGACGAAAAAGGGTCGATCTAGCAACTCCCAGACCAAGACACCAGGAGGGTCCCACCCTCGGCTCCGCCTCCAGCTTTGCATACGCCTCCTGATTGGTCGGCGGCGGGCGGCCCCACCCCGCGGAGCCGGGCTCCGCAAGCTGCAGGCGGGCTCCGCCAAGATGCAGCGGCGGCTCCGGGTGTCGCCGGGCGGGCCAGGGGCAGCGCGGACCCGAGCCGGGCAGGGGGCGCCCGCCACGGCACCCGCGCCCTCCTAGCGCCCCAGACCCGCCTGCAGACCCGATCCTCCCTGCCGCCGTCCCACCCGCAGTCCCCGCCCCTCCACCCTTTGTGTAGCCGCCACCCGGCGCCCCCGGCTTTGCGCGACCCCGGCCGGGCCGGACCGTGGCAAAGCGCCAGGCCCCGCGTGGGCTCCCGGCGAGCGGCTGATGGCGAGGGGGCGCGGCGCGGGCGTTGTAGCCCGAGTTCCCAACGCTGGAGGCCCGGCCCGCCTCCGCCGCATTGTCCCGGGCCGCGCGTCCCGGCCCTGAGCCGCGCCGCCGCAGCACCCGCCCGCCGCCCGCGGGGCCATGCGGAGAGCCGCCGGGATGGAGGACTTCTCCGCGGAGGAAGAGGAGCCCTGGTACGACCAGCAGGACCTGGAGCAGGGTGAGCGCGGGGGCGCCGGGGGCGGGAAGGCGGGGAGCGCCCGGTGACCCCTGTCCGCTTCTCCATTGTTGGGCGCTATCACCCCGGGAGGGGCTGGGCTGGACCCGGCGCGCCTGACTCGGAGGAGCGACGCGTCTGGAGAACCGGGACGTGGAGAGAGGGGGCGCTGCCGGAGAAGACGCGGACCGGACGGGTGGAGACCTGCAAAAGTGGGGGTCGGGGGGCGGTCTTCCTATTTTCCCAGACCACAGGGCATCCGTCATCCAACTCGCCCACCCCGTCCTGGAGGCAGCAACTGCCCAGCCGCCCCTGGTATTGTTACGGGGCCTGAGCGCTGGCTAGGAGTCTTTGGAGGCCGGGAGGCGGCTCCTTCGTCATGTTTTGCTGGGAGGGTGGCGTGTGTATAGAGGGAAGTTATCTCACACCAAATCCAGCAGCACCCGTCCCTGCCAGGATTTATGAGCTCTAAGACTCCCAGAAAGTTTCCCCGACTCGCTTCCTACTCAGGGAGAAGTGGTACCGGGTCTTTGCTGGTGAAGAAGCAGAAAGTCAAGTCTCCCATCTGCCTTCAAGAGTCAGGAGTCGCTTAGCCCTCCCCTGCCCGGTCCCCTTGCAAATGGCTCACGGTTTGGAGGGGGTCAGGTTCAGGAATCCCGGCCAGTGTGCCAGATGAGAGACTGAATAAAGAGGGATACACCTCCGCTGCCCCCAGTTGCCATCTGAGGGCAGAAAGGGCGACTGGAAGGGGGTTAGAAGCTGGTGATGAGGTGGCCGAAGTGACATCACTAGGAGTGGGGGATGGGGCTGTTGGGACAGGAAGCAGGAGGAGGCCTGCTGGAGTGGAGTCAGTTCTACTCTCTCCTCCCCCAAGATGCCTCGTTCTTGGATGGTGAGAGCTGGAAGGGGCGAGGAAACGAGTCCAGGGAGCAGTGACCTTCCCACAGCCTCCAGCAAGCTGGGGGGTGTGGACACAAGTCTGCTGCAGTTTGTGCCATCGTGGCGCGCTGTGGTGTGCCCACACCCTGCTCTCCATCCACAGGGCTCCAGAGGGCTGGTTTTGCCCTGATGTGCAGCAGCTACCCGGATCCTGAAATGCCGACCTACTTCCCCACATGGCCAAGATTGACTGGCAGATGAGGCTCTGTCCTTGTGCTCAGGACAAGGGTTAATCATAGCCTCAGGGGGACCAGGGTGGGACTGGGGATGCTGGACTAGACCCTGCCATGATCTGTGCCCTGGACTCTAACCTCCGCCTCCTTGCCTGGAATGAGATACAGCTCCCCTCACACACACACACGCACACACACACACACACACACAAACACACATCCACACATTGTGAAAACCCCCTCTCCCATCCTGAACAGCAGATTTTTTCCATGAACACCTATTAGGCTCCCTTTAAGTAACAGACACCATCCTGGGAGCTGGGAATAGTCACAGCCCTGACCCTGAAGGTATACCCTGGCAGGTGAAGGAGGCAGGCTTGTAACTAAGTGCAGGTGGCACAGTATATTTTTCTTTTTTATTTTTATTTATTTATTTAGTTTGAGACAGAGTCGCCCTCTGTCACCCAGGTTGGAGTATAATGGTGCGATCTCAGCTCACTGCAACCTCCACCTCCCGGGTTCAAGTGATTCTCCTGCCTCAGCCTCCTGAGTAGCTGGGACCACACCCGGCTAATTTTTGTATTTTTAGCAGAGACAGGGTTTCACCATGTTGGCCAGGCTGGTCTCAAACTCCTGACCTCAAATGATCCACCTGTCTTGGCCTCCCAAAGTGCTGGGATTACAGGCATAAGCCACCGCGCCCGGCTGGTGGCACAGTATTATGGGCAGTGGGGAGGGCTTCCTGGAAGAGCCAGGCTTAGAAAGAAAGATTGGAAACTGAGTTCTTGAGAAGATGGTTTTCAGGTAGGCCGATGCTAATATTGTTGCTGTCTCACTTAATTCCTGCACCCCTAATGAAGGCTTTGGCACTGTTCCTGGCCCAGAGATGGGAAAGGAGCCAGGGTGTAGAGGTGGGAGATGTGCAGAGATGCGCGGCTTCTTGAGAGAGAGAAGTATCTGAGACTCCAGCTGCACTGGGTGGCCATGCCCTGGGCTGCCGGGAGGGATGGGCCCTGCAGGCCTTTGCTTCTCTGGCCCTGCTGGTCTGCAGCTGTCGGCCTGACCCAGCAGCACCAATGGTAGCCAAAGGCCAGGAATCAGGAGGCAAAGCAGAAATGAGACAGCCTCAGAATAAACTGGAGCTTCCTGCCGAAAGTTGGATGTCTGCTTGCTGTGGGCCAGGTGCTGTGCTGAGCCTGAGGACATAGTCTCTGCCCTCAGAGAGTCCACATTACATTAGAGAAGACAGAAATAGGACCAAACGTACGATGGCGTCAGAGTGAGGGGTTCTGCAGCTGTAGACCCAGCGACAGGGACAGCAGAGACTCAGAAAGGTTTATGCCAAGGCCCTTTTGAGCTGGAGGCTCTCCAGGAGAGGGAGGGAAGAAGTCATTCCAGGGGGAAGGGACACTTGTACCAAGTCATGGAGCAACGTGAGAAGGCTGCAAAGTAGGGAATGAGGGGCTGAAGGAAGCATTGGACACGGGTTCTGAGGGGCATTCCCATGGGCCCCGCCTGCTCTGTGCCCCAGGGGCCAGGCATGGAGAACTGGATGGTGGGACAGAGCAGGGGCTAAAGGCCAGCCATATTGGGTGTCAGAGGCGTGTTGCATCTCCCAACCCACAAATTCTCTTCCACCTAGCTGCTCCCTGGTTGCCTGTGAATGTCCCAGAAATGGTTTTCTCAGCCAGCCACCTGGTTTCACCTCCCATCTGTTTCCTCCTGCCCCAAGGGCAGGCCCCAATTCCACTTTCTAGAAGCTTGACTGTAGAGATCCTGTTTGACTTTGGTGCTCTGTCCTGGTGGAAGGCAGCCGTGGGACAAGTGAGGTCCTAGATTCTCACTGTGTTCCCTCTGCCTACTGCCATGAACATCTATAAAAATAGAAAAAGCCAGCTGGGCACAGCAGCTCACGCCTGTAATCCCAGCACTTTGGGAGGCCGAGGCAGGCGGATCACCTGAGGTCGGGAGTTCGAGACCAGCCTGACCAACATGGAGAAACCCCGTCTCTACTAAAAATACAATATTAGCCAGGCTTGGTGGCGCATGCCTGTAGTCCCAGCTACTCAGGAGGCTGAGGCAGGAGACTCGCTTGAACCCGGGAGGCAGAGGTTGTAGTGAGCTGAGATAGTGCCATTGCACTCCAGCCTGGGCAACAAGAGCAAAACTCTGTCAGAAAGAAAGAGAGAAAGAGAGAGAGAGAGAGAAAGGAAGGAAGGAGGGAGGGAGGGAAGAAAGGAAGGAAGGAAGGGAGGGAGGGAGGGAGGGAGGAAAGGAGGAAGGGCCATTGGTTATTAAGCACTGGCACTCCCTCTTTTGGCCCACCTTCCTCCCCCACCTTGGACCAGGCATGGTAGGCCCTGTGAATTCCTCTTTCCAGGCTGAGAGGCGGCTGCTGAGTCACAGATTTGAAGTCCTTGGTACCTGTGCTTTCCCCGCCTGCCTAGCTGACCTTGAGTCCTCAGCCTCAGGAGAGCTCTGACCTGGCAACAGGAGGGAGATCCTGACTCCACCCCGGTTACCCCAAAGGTGACCTGACCCTGATTGTGTGGACCCAGAGTGGCTGACAGTCATGCCCTGGAGCTGAGAACAGCCCTGCCAGGTAGTACTTGTGTCCACTACCTGGAGCCCACACCCTTACCTTTGTCCTCCCTGAAAATGTCCCGTCCCTTTGCTGCATCTCTGCTGTGGAATTTGTGGTGCCCAAGCCAGTGAGGGACAGTGGGATTTCTAAGTTTCTTTTCAAAGACAGGCTCTGGGCTCCCCAGACATTCCTTCTCAGGCCTCTGGGGCATTGCTTCATGTGAAACCACTAAAGCCTCCTAAAGGAGACCCCAGAAAACCCTGGGGTCCAGGCAGGGGAGGTGACAACCCAGACTTTATTTTATTTTATTATTATTTTTTTTTCTTTTGACCTGCACGGTTGAAACCCATAGCCCAGACTTAGTACCTTCCCCAGCTTGGTCCGGTGTGTCCCATTCATCCAGCTGTGACAGGCTGTTACTCCACTTTCACTTCCTGCCTAGCCAGCTCCCCCATTCTCCCGTTCCCAGGCCTCTCTCCTCTGAGCCGGGAGCCGTCACCAGCCCTCTGCTAGCTGGTGTTCTCTCCCTAGCACTTGGTTCCACTCATTTCCCTGCTCTGCAACTTCTAGACTCTTCCCTGATCCCTCCTGGCAGCTTTGACCAGCTTAGCTTGCACTGTGATCCAGTTTCCCTAAAATGATCTGAGACCTGCCTCTCTGCCCCCAAACAGCTTCTATTGTGTTTCTCTTTCTACCTGTCCCTGAATCACTAGGTGGCCCAAGTCGATTCACTGCCTTCAAAGGGCAACCTTTGATGTCTCTGGTGTGTAGGGTGGTATACCACCCTGGCCTGCCAGCATTAGAAATCTACACACAGCCCAGATGCTCACCTGGAAGAGGGGGGCATGATGTTGCACTGCACTTGGCCTTTCTTCACTCACCTCTGATGCAGTGGCTTTGCATTCTAGTTAAGCTGCAGGGGCTCCATGAAGGCCACTTACATGGAGCGTGTCCTCCAACACCCACGGCAGGAGGTAGAATCAGTAGCAATGGCCTCTTTGCAGACCACGTAACAGTTTCCAAGGGGGGAAGCATTTAGGAGGGTAGCTCTCTGATCTCTTTCATGTATATCTGAACTACTGGATACTGTTCAGGATGAGCTACATTTGAGTCCCACTATGGAAAACAGGAAGATAGCATGGCTCTCTCATCACAAACTGAAGATGATTTTGCCCAGCTCCTGAGTCCTGAGTTACTGCCATGCACACAACATAGCATACGGCCGTAGTTCCATCTTTTTGTTGAGACAGAGTCTCGTTCCATCGCCCAGGTTGGAGTTCAGTGGCACAATCTCGGCTCACTGCAACCTCTGCCTCCCGGGTTCAGGCAATTCTCCTGCTTCAGCCTTCCGAGTAGCTGGGATTACAGGTGCGCACCAGCACACCCAGCTAATTAATTTTTCTGTAGCGACAGGGGTCTCACTATGTTGCCCAGTTCAATGATCTTTACATGAAACCTTACAGTTTGTAGATACCTCCAGATTTTTGCCCAACTTACAGTTAATAAATTCATACAGCATATATTCTCATTCCCTTACTAGGTTTATGTTACGTAACTAGTTTTTCTTGGCATCCTCATCAGAAAGTTAATTGCTCAAGGCTAAAGGTTCTCATCTACGATTTACATGATTTGGTTTCTTTGTTGTTGTTGTTGTTTTCAGTGACTGAGGGAGGTGTTTGGGAAAGCTGCCTTTCTTTTTCCAGGCTAAGTTGCTGCAGCCTTGCTCTAGGATAGCAGCTTTGCACTCCTTCTCCAGATGACACAGGGCCCTCCTTTGGCTAAAACTCAGCCCTGGAGGCTCCACTTTGGCCATTTCAAAACCTCACCTCTGTGCACGGGAGCAGGCTCCAAATTTGTTCCTGTGGGGCAGCTCAGCCTTTATGTCCAGGCTCAGTGGCTGGTCAGGCCCCTCTGCCTCTCACAAGGCAACGTCAGTTCTGCCCCCAGCTTGGCTGAAGGCCCAAGGCTCTGCCCTCAGCTGCCCACCAAGAGTCACTGCTTGCCCGGGCTCGTCCCAAAGGAAAACTTCCACCCCAGGTCTAGAGTTCTTTTCAAAGACATGCCTTGTGCTCCCCAGTTATTCCTTCTCAGGCCTCTGTCCATTGCATAGCAAGGGCTCAGCCAAAACAACCGTATCTAGGAAACTTTCTGTCCGGGAGTATAGAGCCCATCTCTCCTCCAGAGACCCTAGAACTATCACTGTGTCTAAAAAGGGAAAGCGGTAGAGAACTGGATCCCTGAACCACATCATATTGGCCCCAGTAGAGTTGCCTTCACGCATCTTGATCTGATTTATATCGTCAGCCTAGATTGAGAGCTGTTTTAAGAAGCAGCCTCATAAAGTGAAACAGACCGGTGCTTTCCTGGACAGTCTTTTGACAGAATGCCTCAAGAAGGCCTACCTTTTGTCCCAGGAATTCTGTTTCTAGGAATTCTGTATCTAGGCCTACCTTTTGTTCCAGATGCCTAGGCCTACCCTTTGTTCAAGGAATTCTGTGTCCTAGGAATTGGGCGGTGATTTGCACAAAACGTTTTGTACCACAAAGTTAATTAGTTTCATTCTTTTTTTTTTTCAGAGATAGGGTCTTGCTTTGTCTCACTGGAATGCAGTGGCGCAATCATACATTACTGTAATCTGAAACTACTGGACTCAAGCAATCCTCCCACATCAACTTCCCTAGTAGCTGCAACCACAGACCCACCACCTAGTAGCTGCACCACCATGCCCAGCTAATTTTTACAATTTTTTTGTAGAGATGGGGTCTCGGGTAGGGCGCAATCCCAACACTTTGGGAGGCCGAAGCGGGCGGATCATGAGGTCAAGAGATTGAGACCATCCTGGACA